CTTTTTCTGCATCTATTGAGATGATCATATAACTTTTGTCCTTGGCTCTGTTAATATGGTGGGTTACATTTATAGATTTAGTATGGTGAGTCATCCCTGCATCTCTGGGATGAATCCAACTTGGTCATGGTATACAACTTTATTGACAATTTGCTACAGTCTGTTTGCCAGTTATCTTATTGAGAATTTTTTGCATTAATGTTCATTAGGGAGACTGGCCTATAATTCTCTTTCTTAGTTGGGTCCTTCTCTGGTTTTGGTATCAAGGTGATGCTTGCTTCCAGGAATGAATTTGGAGTATTGCTTCCCTTTCAGTTTCATTAAAGAGTTTTTATTAGGTTTTCTCTAAATTTTCTTGTTGAATTCAGCAGTGAATCTATCAGGATCTGAGCTTTTATTTGTTGATAGATTTTTTTTTTTTTGGTACCAGGGATTGAACTCAGGACCTAGTGTTTGCCAGGCAGGTGCTCATGCTGCTGAGCTAAATCCCCAGCCCTGTTGATAGGTTTTTAATTACATTTTTAATTTCATTTATTGATATTGGGTTATTTAGGATTTTTATGTCTTCTTGATTCAGCTTTGCTAATTCATATGTATCCAGGAATTTGTCCATTTCTTCTGTGTTTTCTGCAAGCAAGATCGATTGTGATTTCACCCTTTTCATTCCTAATTGCATGGATTTGAGTTTTTTTTTTTTTTTTTTTGTACTGGGGATTGAATTCACAACTTTGCACTTGCCAGGCAGGTGCTTATGCTTCTGAGCTAACTCCCTGGCCTTTTTTTTTTTTTTTTTTTTTTTTTTTTTTTTACCTTTTGATAAGATTGGCTAAGGGTTTGTCAATTTTATTTAACCTTTCAAAGAACTATTCTTCATTGATTCTTTGTATTGTTTTTTAGTCTCCAGTGTGTGTTAATTTCTGCTCTGACCCTTATGATTTCCTCCCTTGTATGACCTTTTGGTTTAACCTGCTCTTTTTTGAAGTTTGAGGTTCAACCTTAAGTTGTTTATATGCACTTGCTCTGTTTTCCTGGTATGGGTATTTACTGCTATAAATTTCCCTCTTAAGACTGATTTCATTATGTCCCACAAGTTCCAGTATGTTGTGTTGTCATCATTCAATTGTAGAAGACTAATTTCTTCATTAGTTTCACCTGTGATCCATTGGTTGTTCAGTAGGGTGCTATTTAATTTCCATGTGTTTATGAAGTTCTCGTGGTTTCCTTTGGCATGGATTTCCAATTTCGTTGCACTGTGCATGGAATAATTTCAATTTCTTTACATTTGCTTAAGCATGTTCTGTGAGTCAGTATATGGTCTGTTTTGGAGAATGTCCCATGTGCAGATGAGAAGAATGTGTATTCTGATATTGTAGGGTAGAACATTCTATAGGCATCTACTATGTTTTTTTTTTAACACAAGAAAAACAAGCAATTTATTAATGCATGCAGTGCCCATCACTTTCGAGAACCCAGTGAAAAGTAACCCAAAGTAGTAGGCTTATATAGTGTCTTCAACAAAGAATAGTAAGGTTTTCAGAAAGTCACAAGACAAAAGAAAGCAGTTTTAGTTCCCGGAGGTGGGAAACCGTGGAAATGTAAGTTTATGGGAGTAAACCAATGAAGCAAGCTTGTTCGGAGGTTCCTCTGGTGCCACTTCAGAGCTGATAAGAATTCTCATCAGTGAGTAACTTCCTTTCTTCCTTGTTAACATGGCAGACAAGACACCATTGCAATGTTATGCCTTGCCTTTAAAAGAGTTTTCTTTGGCTTTGCTGCGTCTGAACTGTCTTCAGCTCAAAATATTTATGTCAGAAACATATGTATTTGGCTTTCCTTCATATCACATAGAAACATCACAAAAATGCCAGACAGAATTCTTTTATAAGGAGATATACAATAGAAAAGAAAAACAACTCATTTTTTTGTGTGTGTGTGTCTTTTTCGTTTTTATCGGTACCAGGGATTGAACTCACGACTGCCTGCTTGCAAGGCAGGTGCTTATGCCACTGAGCTAAATCCCCAGCCCCTAACAACTCATTTTTATGTCTCTTTATACATTAATTATAAACCATAGCAGTAAAAGCTTTCCCAACATTGGCAAGAAAAACTGAAAAATTGTTGGTCTTCCTTACATTCTCTTGAAATTCTGCTAGGCACTCAAGGAGCACTATCTGACACTTTATAGTCCCCTGTTTCATTTAGATACAAGGAAAACATAAATGGGTTTTCAGGATGCTTAGAGTCAATACTAGTGAATAAAATCTGCAGTTTATCCCCATACAGTTTCTAATTTCTAGTCCAAGTCAATCTTTATACAAGTCTGCTGACCTCTGAAGCCTTTTCAATCTTTCATTAGCTCTGTTAGCAGTGGAAATAGTTTCTTTCTTCCTAGAATATTCTTCAAGATCCTGAATATTTGTGGTTAGGACTTCCAGTTCCTACTTTTAGCCTTTCATTTTTCAGCAAGCAGCTTTAAAAGATTATCTTCTTTTTCTTGAATCAGCTTATTATGCTTGCAGACCTGTTCTTGATATTCCAGAAACATCTCAACCATTCATTCTCTTCCTTTAATTTGACAGAGAACTTTTCTGCCAGACCGTTTATGGAGTCCTTACAGGCATCTCTTAGTCCCACCATCTGATGGAGGTGTCATTGAGAGTGTTTCAGAACTTATTTCCAAATTCATTTATGCTTTTATCGAACAGTTCCCATTCATCCTCTACCATTGTGCAAGACATTTCATCACCGTGGCTGATAGGTCTGAGTTCTGTTATCTTCTCCCCAAACCAGAGGGACCTCTAGCTCCCAACTGACCTCCAGACTCAATTATATATTTTGGTTTTTGAGACAGGGACTACATATCCCAGGTTGACCTTGAACTTTCTATGTAGCCCAGATTGGCTTCAATTTTCTTATCCTCTTGCCTCAGCCTCCCAGAGTGCTGCTATTATAGGTATATACCACCAGACCTGCTTAGATTAGTTCTATTCCCATATTTTTAATAGAATTGCTTCCTAAAGATTATTTTTTTTTAATCTTTTTTTTTTTTTTTTTTTTTTTTTTTTTTTTTTGTCTTTTTCCTTTTTACCGGTACCAGGGATCGAACTCACGACCACCTGCTTGCAAGGCAGGTGCTTATGCCGCTGAGCTAAATCCCCAGCCCCTTTTTTTAATCTTTTTGAGACAGGGTCTCGCTATGCAGTTCAAGCTGGCCTTGAGCTCACTTTGGAGCCCAGGCTGGTCTTGAACTCATAACGATCCTCCTGCCTCAGCCTCCCGAGTGCTGGGATTACAGGCATGAGCTACCACGCCCAGTCCTAAAGACTATTTTTTTGGCATTGGGGATTGAACTCATGATCTCAAGCTTGCCAGGCAGGCATTTGTGCCACTGAGCCAGCCAAAAAAATCATTCTTTGGCTAAGTGTGACACACCCAGCATTTGGGAGGCTCTGGCAGGAAGACTACCACGAGTTTGAAGCTAGCTGGAGCTATATAGTGAGTTTAAGGCCAGCCTGAACTACAAGGAGAGAACTTGTCTCCAAAAAAATTATTACTTTTTGATTGTGACTCTGTCAGAATCACACCCTATAAGTTTGGTCATGGTAGTTCAGTTTTCCTAATAATTTTGTTAATGTGTCATGAAAAATCAAGAGTATGGGGGGAGAACCACCAGCGTATCCCGAGATTCATGCCATGTTGGAACTTGGGGCGCTGGGAAACCAAGCAACCAGTTCCCCCCTCTGGAATGTGGCTGTGAGCCTACCAGCGCATGGGCTGAGAATCAAACATCCCACCCCCGCTTAGCAAATGGGAGCCAGAGACCTGAGCATCTCTTGGGAGGTTGACCATATGCAATATAGCAAATAAGGGGGATTTCCTTCTACCATCTCTTTGAAGGCAAATATTTTTATCGCTGTTTTGCTTTGTTCTCATTTATGGTATTGCTCTATTCAATATTCTGTTTTGATAAGTTCTATAATGTTCTGTATTTCATGTGATTTTGCTATACCTGATGGAATGCACAAGTGAGATATACTATGGTAGCTATTATTGTTTTCCCGGTATCCTGCTCTGAAGTTCTATACCAATTTTGCTGCATTGTCTTGATTGGCTTTGTTCTATCTTACTTTGTTGTATTTTACTATCTTTAAAATAAAATAAAAAATCTCAATCATGAAAACAAAACAAAACAAACTAAGCCTGTGCTTAGCATGGATGAGGCCTGGATCTCAATCCCCAGCAACTCCTAAACCCCCAGCCCCAAAACAACAAACACAAGCTTGGGAAAGCTCACCAGGAGCCTGATGTACACATAAGCCAGGGCAGGGCACACAGATGTACTGACCTAAGAGGTCAGGGAGGGCTTGATCACCTTTCTCTGAGTAACTGAGGGGCCCTGGGGCAGTGAAGGGCAAATGCTGAGGAACAAATGCTTGGAGAATGAAAATTCAGTGGATAGCAAGCGTGTCTAGGAATCTAGGTGGTTGCCCCTATTCCCAGATAATTGTGAGGTTGTGGCAGGAGGATCACAAGCTGAAGGCCAGCCTGGTCAGGCAAAGTCTAGTCTCAAAATAAAAAGGGCTAGAATAAAATGCACGTGCGTGTGTGTGCACACACACACACTCACGGACGCACGCGTAACATTCAGGACACAGCACACGCAAACCTTAGCTCGCTTGCTTTCTCTGGACCTACAATACAGACAGAGCAAATGACCAAAATATAGCGTGGTGTGGTGGCGCACGCCAGTAATTCCAGCACTGGAGAAGCTGAGGCAGAAAGATCCTTGCCAGCCTGGGTTATAAAGTGAGTTCACGAGCAACCTGGGCATTGCGAAATCCTGACTCAGAAAGACACAAAATAAAGAAAAAAGAAACTGACCAAAGAGGCACACGGATACCCAGAGGAGACACTGATAGAGACACAAACCGCATTACAATCGGGACACGCCCACGCGCCTCGGAGCCGGCTCAGCAGCCCGGCATGCCGCGCGCCAGCTTCCGGGGCGGGGACACACAAACCCGGAAGTAGTGGAGAGACTGGCGGAGAGTTGGGGTGTAAGTTGTAGGCCTTGGTTTTCCCTTGTGTGCAGGTTCCCCCGCCGCCGCCGCCGCCGCCGCCGCCGCCATGGGGAAACGACAGCACCAGAAGGACAAGATGTAAGTGCAGCTCAGCCAGGCGGCTTCCCGCCTTCCATCAGTTTCCCGCCTGTCTCAGAGCCCATCCCGAGTGTTACTTCCTCCGTTAACGCCGTCTCCTTTATATCCCGGGTTGGCAGCTTCTTTCCTGCACCTCCAGGGCTTGCGTGTTGGTCAGTGCCCCTCGGCCCAGACGCCTGTTGCAGAGTCTGCCGGTGTGAGCCAATTGTGCCTCAGGTTCCCCTTCTGGCAACGGTATTTTGTTGATTCTTTCCTAACAAGCAAAAAACTCGGGACTACCAAACCGCCGCAGATTTTCACCCCAGAACTACTCTTGTAATGATGCTCTACCCCAATGCTAGGACTGAATGTAAGAGTGTTCTGTCACTGAGGACCATTTCCAGCCCTGTTTGTTTGATTGCTTATTTATAGGCAGGATCTCGCGAACCCAGTCCTGAATGGTCTGGAATTAGTGATCTCCTGCCTCAGCCTCCTCAGTTGCTAGGAATACTAAGGCACTGAGCTGGCTATGAAGATTCCTCTTGACTTGTATAGCCATATCTGGTATAGACCTGTCAGTCTTCATTTGGTTGGGTTTCTGGAAAAGAGTGGCTACACCATTATTCTGAAACCTTTTGTTGACAGCTGGGTTCCCACATGCTCTTTGTTTTGTTTGTACTTTTATATGGTTCCTTCAATTGGGCTTTTGCTGCCTCTTAGATCTGTAGTTTTTCATCAGGACCTGGGATTTAGCTCAGTGGCATAAGTGCCCATCTGGCAAGTGTGAGGTCATGATCCCCGGTACCAAGAAAAAAAAAAAAAAGGTGAAGGTGTTTCATCTGCTTGCACATGCCCTGGGACTCTTGTCCAGTGACATCTTCCTGTCTCTGGGCCTTTGTATATGCTGTGCCTACGAAGCTCTTCCCTATCTCTACATGACTTCCTCTTTTTTATTGTCATTTTTTTTTTTTAAACAGTACTGAAGAAAGAACCTAGAACTTCTACTGAGCTGTATCCTTGGCCCATTTTACTTTTTATTTTCTTTTTCTTTTTTTGTTTTGAAGTAAGATCTTGCTAAATTGCCCAAGCTAGCATTGAATCTGAATTTTCCTGCTTCGGCCTCCTAAAGTGCTAGGATTATGCATGTGTACCACCATGCTTGGCTGCATTGTCTGGTCATCTTAATAAATCCAGTTATTTTCTCAGTGCGAAGCAAGAGTGTTGGTATTTATTTACTAGTTTGTGTGTCTTCTTGTCTGTTTTTTATCACTATGTCCCTGACACCTGAAAGTACTTGAGAAATGTTTGCTAAATGAGTAAAGATTGCATCATCAGTTGTTCCAAAACTCAATTGTGTCAATAAAGGGGCAGTAGTAACATTTTTTCTTTCCCTTTATTCTTCAGGTACATTACCTGTGCTGAATATACTCACTTCTATGGTGGCAAAAAGCCAGGTAAGGCATAAAATTAGTCTTCTCTCTATGAAGAGGGGATGGTTTTAAAGAATGATGCCCTGAGTATACAGTGAGCAGTAAAAATGAACAGTTAACAGAAACAGACATTATAGTAGACAGCTGGTTTAAGGACACAGTCCATAAAATAAGAAGTAGTCTTAGGATAAGAGAATGTGTTTCATTTTATGGTTTTGTTTTGTTTTGTTTTTAGAAAGAGGCCAAGTGTGGTGGCATAGGGCTATACTCCCAGCACCCGGGAGGCTGAGGCAGGAGGATTGCCATGACTTTGAGGCCAGCCTCGCTTACATAGTGATGTAAAGGCCAGGCTGAATTACATGACGAGACTCTGTCTAAAGCACTCCACAAAAAATAAATACATTTTAAGAAAAGGTACTCAGGGGCTGGGGATTTAGCTCAGCGGCATAAGCACCTGCCTTGCAAGCAGGCAGTCGTGAGTTCGATCCCCAGTACCGATAAAAAGGAAAAAGACAAAAAAGAAAAGAAAAGAAAAGGTACTCGTATATTTTCTAGGCTTGTTTTAAATTTGGGATCCTCCTGTTTTACCCTCCCAGAACGCTGGGATTATAAGAATGTGCCATTGCAGTCAGCTTCTTGGAGATATTTTTGAACGTAAGTTACAGTAAAGAAGGTGGAATACAGATGTACTGGGAGGAATAGAGAAGGAAGGTAGGGTAAGTTAATAAAAAGAATGGTAGGTAATAGCCAGAGCTATCAGGGTTACAATAAAAAAGGACAGTCATAATTTTAATGAGAGTAAAAAGGTATGGACTTTTTCCTCTATTTTTATTGATTTTTTTTCTTTTTTGTGGTTTTGGGGGTCAAATCTCTAGGCAAGTAGTCTGCCACTGAGTACTTCCCTAGCCCATCTAAGCTTTGTTTTTTCTGTAATGGTTCTGGTGATTGGTCTCAGGGCCTTGCATTCAGCTGTTGTGTTGTGTTGTGTTTCGTTTTTTGAGATAGCTAATGTACTACGTTCCCCAGGCTGGCCCTTGAAGTTGTTGCAGTCTTCCTGTCTCATCCTTCTGAGTAGCTGGGATTACAGGCATGCACTGCTGTCTCCATCTTCTGAGTTCTTTTTTGATGTACCCCATGTGTTTTAGTTATATCTATTAAAAGATTTTTAATCCAGGAGTTGGGGGATATACCTTAGTAGAATACGTGCTTAGCGTGTTCAAGGCCCTGGGTTTAATTCCTAATACCAATAAACAAATAAACAAATGGAAAAGTAATTTTAAAAAAGTAATCAGTAGCAATTTCTATCTGAGTGGTTTCCATGAACTTTTTCTAAAATGTGATGGAATGGTTGGTAAATGCACATAGATGAATTGGTTTACAGAATAAATTTTCTTTTTATTTCATTTTAAACAGATGTCCCTCAAACGAATTTTCGTCGTTTACCTTTTGACCACTGCAGGTAAGAGGAGTTTCTTTCACCCGTGATCATTTCCTGGAACAGGTTGACTACCTTTTTTTTTTTTTTTTTTTTGAGACAAGGTCTTGCTTGTAGTCCAGACTGGCCTTGAATTCACTTTGTAGTACAGGCTGGTCTCAAACTTGTGGCAGTCCTCCTATCTCAGCCTCCCAGAGTGCTGGGATTGCAGGTGTATGCTACCATGCCCAGTTGACTTTCTGTTTTCTGAAATGCTTGGGACTAGCATTATTTCAGATTTGGGATTTTTTTTGGATTTTGAAATACTTATATATGCTTTACCAGTTATCACCCCTCATCTGAAATCCCAAAATCTAAAATGTTCCAGAATCCTTACCATTTGGAAAATTGATGGAATGCTTAAAAAGTTTCAGACCTTATTGGGTGCTCAGTGTGTTCTACTACTCACTCTGCCCCTTGACTATGCAGGTGGGATCTGGGTACCTTCAGCCTCCTCCATCTTCCTTTTCCTTGCTCTGGGACCCCAGCCATGATGACCGCTAACGGGCATTTCCTTGCTTTTTGCTTGTGTGTTTACCAGTGTTATCTTTTTAACCGTTTACCTTCTGAGGTTACACCTGTTTTATAGTTCTTAGAACCAATGCTTAGAAGAGCAGAGCGTGTCACTGTGGTGTCACAAGTCTGGCTGCTGAGGTTTGGCCCCAGTGATCTGATACTGGGCCCAAGCCCATAATATTTTACTCTTGTTCCTGATTTTCAGTAGCAGCAGCAGTAGCAGCCAGCAACTGTGAGGCCTTTTATCTCTTACCTGGGAACCTTGGGTTACTGGTTGGGGTGACAGAGTCTCCCAAATGCTTCTACAGCTATATGGCATATATGTGAACAGGGTGGGGGTGTGTCTGTTGCAGGACAGGATGAGGGCTCCTGACTCCCATGTGTTGCTCTTTAGGGTAGCTCTGGTGGTCCCTAGAAACTGAGTTTTCCCCAGCCTGAACCATGGTCACTTCTGCCCTGGACACATTTTTCATTAGCACAGCATCCCCCGCCTCCCCAGGTTCTGATTTCCAAATGTCAGGGTGACACTGGGAGGTCCTTGCAAGTTTGAGACCAGCCTGGGCTACAAAGCAAGCCCAAGACCAGCCTGAACTGCACAGCGAGACCCTGTCTCAAAAAGCCAAAAAAAAAAGAGATGTACCTGGTTAGCACCCCGCCCCCTGGCCTAGGTTTGTCATCAGTCTTGTGGGTGTGAATTGAGGTAGCCAGTCCTTCCATTTCTAGATCCAGCTCCTCCTGGAGGTCTGATCTGTATCTGTCTGCTTGTTAATTCCTTGGGTTCTGTGAAAAGGATGCTCCAGGTCAAGTTGGGGAGCAGATGCTTTTGCATCATCACAGCATTTGGCGCTGGCTTGTTTCAGCTTCCGCTCCGGTCACTTACCAGCAGCAGCACCACCAAAGCTGCAGATAGAACTGAAGGTTGGGCCAGAGACAGAGGTGGCTGGGTCGCTCAGAGGGCTCCCTGGGGGCCACTGTCCTGAGAGTCACCTCACTAGACCTTGGAGTGTGGCAGGGCTGGGGCACTGTTTTTACCTGGCTGTCCAGGTCCTCGAGACTGACCTGTGGTGACTAAACTCATAGGCAATTTGATGTACAAACAGAAACCAGGTCAGTCAGGGCTCTGGGTGGCTAACAACAAATACCCCTCCCAAGAAACACAGTGCTGGCTCAGGCAGTTCACCAAGTGCAATCCCTTCTGCAGCCCTGCTTCTCCCCAGCAGACTCCATGAGAGGGAGATGGCTTCAGGCAGTTGGGACACCACTGTACTCCCACATCTGGGTCAGAACTGCCTGAGGGCTCCAAGGACTCAGCTGTTGACTGGCATGTTCCAGCCCTTGGAAATATGGGGGACCTTATGTACACTGGGGTTAGGGGCAGGCAGTGCCTCTTTCCATGATAGCCCCCATCAGGGACCTGTGCCTGATACTGATTGACTTGTCATAGAGCTGCTGCGGGATGAAATGTTAGGGAGGCTTCTGTCGCTGGCCACAGCACAGTCCATGCCAAGGAGCCCCTGGGACTGTTGAAGAATGACTAACAGAGGGAAACCAGAGGGCCATGTTGCAAGTGCTATATCAGGTGCCTGCGCCTGATCTGTGTGTCTGGCAGCTGGCCAGGAATGACTCTGTCCTTTCTCAGTCTCTCCCTACAGCCCTTTGCCTACCCAGTCTGCACTCCAGAAGGCGTCGTCTTTGACTTGCTGTGAGTTTTTCCTTGAATTTTGATCTAATTGAAGAGGTTGTCAACTCACTAAGGGAAGAGGCATCAGGTTTGTGGATCTAGACAGTGCCAAGGCCACCAGGCTCTAAGGAGCTCTGGGTGTCCTCTTGGTGACTGAGGAAGGAAAGCCCTGGCCTCAGGAACACGGCAGCAGGGCTGCTGTGACCCCCAGGCAGACAACTTTAGGTGGCAGGTGCTGCTGTTCCCTCCCCCCCATCACTTTTCCGGGTCAAGTCCTGATTGGCTCATCTGCTCCTGTGTGGGAATGTTAATGAGCTCCATGCTTTCCCTTTGGAAAGCAAAGTCCTAAGGAAAGTGCACAGGTTTCCTTATTTGCCATATTTGTTCTTTGGTTTTTTAAGACAAGGTCTCGCTATGTAGCCCAGGCTGGCCTTGACCTCACTGAGTAGCCCAGGCTGGCCTCAAACTTGTAGAAACCCCCTTATCTCCTTTCCTGAGTGCTGGGATTACAGGTGTTTACCAGCATGGCCAGCTTCCTGTGCCATATTTGGAAGCATTATGCACATTTTTTGTTTGTTTTTTTGGTGCTAGAGATCAGACCCAGGGCCGGGGGTGCTACACATGGCCTCTCCACTGAGGTATACTTCCACTTCTGGTGACAGCTCCTCTCTCTTCCCTTCAGGAACATTGTTCCATGGCTTAAGAAGTATGGGACCAACCCCAGCAATGGAGAGGTAGGTGGTCCTGTTGCCATTTAAGTGATGCTGGTGAGAGCTCTCCTTTTGCCTATACTTTGTCCTGGTGGTCTTTTTAAATTTGATTTTGAGAGTTTCCTTCTATAGTCAGGATGGCTGGAACTCTCTATGTAACCCAGGCTGTCCTCAAACTCATGATCCTCTTGTCTCAGCCTCCAGGATGCTAGGATTACAGGTATGCACCACCAATTTGGTTGTCCTAGTGGTTTTCACATATGCTGGGACTTGAGGTGCTAGAGACCCATTGATGGGGAGCGAGTAGACAGTGAGGAGCAATAGTTTCACACTCTCTGCCCACACTCACTCCTTTACGGAAATGTCCCCCTGTGTTTGTGTGTGTGCAGGAACAGTTCCTGTGTGTGCAGATTCAACCAGCTGCCAGGTATTAATTTTTTAAAAAATTCCATCAGCACTGAGCATATACAGACCTTGGTAAATCAATACTTCCTAAACTATACAGTGTAACAACTATTTACAGAGGATGGACATTGTATTAGGTATTGTAAGTCACCTAGGGTGCCTTTAAGGTATACAAGAAGATGGATGTAGGTTCTCTGCAAATCCTCTGCCATTTTATATGGGATTCTTCACTGATTTTGATATCTGGGTGTCCTGGAAGCAATCTCCCATGGATGCTGAGGGACAATTGTATATTTCTTTTCTGGGAAGACATGCAATCAAAGTGTAGTCTGCACCTTGCTTTATGTACTTGGTAATGTGTCCCAGAGAACCAAATGTGTTGGTGCAGAAAGCATAGTCTTTTCTCCAGAGCTGTGTGGACTTTCCATGGTGTGTTTCACTGGATTTTAAAGTCATGCGCCCATACAAACAGGTGCAGGCAATGTCTCTGCTTGTGTTTTGCGGAACACAGGAGTATCTTGCTAAGACTGCTAGGCCAAAGGATGGGGACCTTTTCAATTTCAGTAGCTACTGCAGAATTGCCCTACAAGGCTGGGGATTTAGCTCAGCGGCATAAGTGCCTGCCTTGCAAGCAGGCAGTCGTGAGTTCGATCCCTGGTACCAATAAAAAGGAAAAAGATTAAAAAAAAAAAAAAAAAAAAGAATTGCCCTACAAACTAGAAGCCCCTTCTATTGTTTTAAGCTCCCAATAGCAGCGTGTACAAGAAAATGCCTGGATTTATGTGTTGGGAACATCAGTAACTTTTATTTTGGCTACGTTTAGGGAAAGAAGAATTTATTTATTATTCTTGAGAATTGACCCAGGGTATGCTAGCCAAGCACTCATCACGGAGCTATACCCCCAGCTCTTCTTGTATTTTAATTTGAAACAGGGGCTAGGTAAGTTGCTCAGGCAAGCCTTGAACTTGTGTTTCTCCTGTTTCAGCTTTCCTAGTAGCTGGGATTACAAGGGTGGTAGACACCATCACACTTGGCTCAATTTGTATTTCTTGTGAGTTAGGTAAAGCTGCTGCTTAAATTTCCTGTGCCCAGGTCCAGTGCTGTGAATCCTATGCCATGTGGGAAGTAAAATTTCAGCTCATTCTACTCTTTTTATTTTTTTAATTTTTTAATTTTTTGACCTGGGAATCCAACTCAACAACCCCACGCTTAGGCAGGCACTGTGCTGCTGAGCAATATCCCTGGCCATCATTCTCTTTCTCTAACCTTACTGTGTAAATTTATCATAACCCACAGTTTTCCCATGCTGTAATCACCCTGTTTTATTGGTCCCTTTACTTCTCAGAGACCTGTCTCCTTCCCTCGTGGGCCCATTTCTTTATATATTCAGTTACACCTATGTACTCAACAAGGTGTTAGCTAGGTAAGCAGCAGGTACAGGGGCAGGCAGGTGCCAGGAGTTCCACTGAGATGCCACAGAGAGGGCAGTGAGACTGGGGGAGGTTAGGTGGACCGGGAATATCTGAGGAGCATCTACCAGCTGAGACCAGGGGATGATGGGAGATGGTGCTACATAGAGGCTGTATTAGCGTTAAAGGCCCGGAGAGAGCTTGGGTTTGTTCTGGAGTACTGGGAGTCCAGACAGGATTATGATTTGGCCTATTTTGAAGACAAACCATGGCTACTGTGGGTAAAGAATATTAAGGAGACAGTTGGCAGCAAGGAGAGCAGCCAAAGGAAGTGTTAGGTAAACTTTTTTTCTTTTTCTTTTTCTTTTCTTTTCTTTCCCTCCCTCCCTCCCATTCTCCCTCCCTTGTTCCTTCCTTCCTTGCTTCCTTCCTTCCTTCCTTCCTTCCTTCCTTCCTTCTTCACCAGGGTCTCACTGTGCTGTTCAGGTTGGCTTGTGAACCAGTGGGATATGCCGAGGTGTCTAGGCACAATCTCTCTCTGGGACCTCAAGAGCTTCCTGAGTAGCTGTCCCTGTCTTGTGCCAGTGATGGGCAGTGAAACTTAGGCATCTGGTCTGTGTGTACGATCCCAGGCCAGGCACTGCCGCTGCTGTTATGACCTTACCTTACTCATGTGCGCAAAGACACCATTTCTAAGTTAGGTCATGTTTACAGTTTCCCAGTGAGCTTGAACTTTGGAGGAGTATTTTTCACCCCAAGAAGGGGATCTTGTGTATTTTACCCAGTGACTCTGCCCTTTCTGTCAAAGTGATTTATGTTTGCTCTTCTTTCCTGGGGCTTGGTACAAGAGCACAGATGAAGGGATGATGAATCAGGACTCAGAACACAGGGCCTCAGAGCTGGAGCTGTGACCAGCTGTGGTATCAGGTAGAAGCAACAGAATTTTCCCAGAGGCTGGGGTGCAGCTTGGGAAGAGAGCATTTGTCACTGAGGGCCAGCTCTGAGGGCCATTTCCTAGCACTACATAAATAAGTAAACAAATAAATTAATGACTTTCCCTAGAATGGTGGGAGAAGCTGATGACCCAACTGTGGCATCTTAGCTCTTTTGCCCCTGGGCTGGTTTGGTTTTCTTTGCAGCATAGGTGACCTCTCCAGTGTGGGCATCGTCAGAGACCCTTCAGCCAAATCTGAAAAAAGTCACTGCACTGAGGGCTGGCTGGCCACATGCCACTTAGGCCTGGCAGAGTATGTGTAGGCTCTCTGGTGGAGTAGGTACCTGGAGGAATGTCCCACCTCTTTTCTGGTGTAACCCTCACGTGCGTGTGGAGGGTGCTGAGTGGTAGAGTAACAGAATAGAATGAAGCCAGAGCAGAGGAGCAGATGTGCTCAGTTAGGAAAGTTGTCAGGTCAGAGAGCAGCCCAGGCACATGGCTCCCAAGACTCCTGATGTCTTCCCTGAGCTCTGGGTGGGTTTGGCTGCTGGGATGGGGACACTCTGACTTCACCTTCCAGAGTGTCCATGACATAGCCACCCACATTTCCTCCAGGAGAGGTGAGCTCTTCCCTCTAACAGCCAGGACATTTTGTGATTGCATCAGCTTCTCCTTCAAAGAGGTGAACTGAAGATGTGTTTTAGAAACTTTGGTAAACAGTGAATCTTACTTTCCTCTTAACACTTTTAGTATTTGGGTTTGTTTCCTTGTTTATTTATGTATTTATTTTGTGGTTCTGATGATGAATGAGCTATACCTCAGTCTCTCCCCTATTTGTAATATTTGATTTTACTTATTTATTTTTGAGAAGGGTCTCACTTTGTAGCCCAGGCTGGCCTGGAACTCATAGCAGTCCTCCTGCCCCTGCCTTCCAAGTGCTGGGATTACAGGCATGCGCCACCACACCTGGCAATATTTTTTTAAGCATTCATAAATAGAATAAGATGAACACCTGGATCTCCTCCTTAGCATTAGAAATATACTCAATTTTAATTTCAGAAGTAATTTGTGCTTGCCACAAAGATGTTCAGGTCTGAGGATCTAGCTCAGTGGCAGAAGTACCTACCTGGTAAGCATAAGGTCCTAAGTTTGATTCCTAGTACACCCCCCCCCCCATGTTCAGACAAGGATTTGGTAGAATATATGTTTATTATACAAAGGCTTTGGGCTTAGTTTTCAACATCAAAATAAAAGGCCAGACACTGCAGAAACATAAACTATACCATCCTCATCCTTAGTCTCACCCAGTAGCCCAGTGGTCCCTTCTGTGAATAGGTCTGTGTTTGTGTGTTTACAAACCTGGGCTCTCTAAGCCAGGCATGTTGGCACATGCCTGTAATCCCAGCACTTATGAGGCTACGGCAGGAGGATAATTGGGAGTTTGAGGCCAGCCTGGGCTACAAAGTGAGCTCAAGGCAAGCCTGAACTGTATAGTAAGACCCTGTCTCAAAAAGAAAAAAAATTAAAAAACAAAAACAAAAATCTGGGCCTTTGGGATGTGGGGATCATGTAGTCATTGCCACCCAGGTATGCATTGTGCATCCTAGCTGTGTCCTGGGGGCCTCACTAAAGGGGTCTCTCAGGAGACTCTATAGCTGCAAGGCTTCAGTGGAGAGAAACCTTTCCATTCTACTTCAGCTGGCTTTTCAGCCTTGTCTTCCTATGCCTTGTTATTATTGTGTGTGTGTGTGTGTGTGTGTGTGTGTGTGTGTGTGTGTGTGTGAGATACTGGGGCTTGATTTGAGGGCCTTGTGCTGCTAGATGAGTGCTCTACCACAATACCTGAGCCCTATTCATTACTAGTAATTATGTGTCTTCCAGAAACTTGACGGGCGATCCCTCATCAAGCTGAACTTTGCCAAGAACAGCGAAGGTGAGAGTGCTTTTAGTAGCTGGCTCTAGGATTTTCCCACGGACTTCAGGCCTTGCTCTTACCAAGTTGATTTATGGAATCAGTCATTCTTTTCTTTTTCTTGTTTTGTGATGCTGAGAATCAAAGTGAGAGTTTCATACATACTAAATATGTGCTCCATATGGAGCCCCAAGCCCAGCCCTCATTCACTCCGCCTCTGATCAAGCTAGGTAGTTACTTTTAATTTTTCAAAAGTTGTTACATGACTTCTTAAAGGCTCAGGTAGTTTTAAGCTTGGGGAGGTAGAGATGGAACCACTTTTTCACAAAGGCAGTGAAGCCATTGTACGCTGCTGTTGGCTTTTTTTTTTTTTTTTTTTTTGTCTTTTTCCTTTTTATCGATACCAGGGATTGAACTCACGACTGCCTGCTTTCAAGGCAGGCGCTTATGCCGCTGAGCTAAACCCCCAGCCCCCAGGCCTTTATAAACATGGTTGGGCCCTTGGGAGCACAGGCCTCATCTGGCTGAAGCTGTGGTCCATTCATTACTGGAAGCAGAGCTGCTCAGGCTGAGTCCTAGAGTGGTGGCCCAGTCGTGGGTGTGGTGTCCTGGAGGGATTTTTGGGCAGCTGGCAGCTGAGCTGCTCCTCCCCACTGCTCCTAAGACCCCAGCTCAGCTTGCTGCCTCCTGCTTAATGATCCTGCACTTCCTCCTCTTTTCCCTTGGTCAGATGTCTGAGCTGAGGCTGTACCAGGGGCTGCTCTTGCTGTAAGTTCTCTGTGTGTGGCCCTGGCGCAGGCCTCCTTTTGCTGCACAGATGATTTGGTTTAGGTTGTTGTCCATGTTTGCGTTGTGGATGTGGATGTGTCCTGAGAGGCCCTGCAAGGCCTGGGAAGGTGTGGCAGGCCTCAGGCTCCTCCTCTGAGATGGGAACCTCTCCGAGGGGGACGTGGTCTGGCTTCATGTTATTGGTGCTGAGGATTGAAGCTGGGTTCCTGTCCATGGTAGGCAAGTACCCTACTGTTGAGCTAAAGCCCGAGCCTGTTTTGTTTATTTATTTTTTGTCTTTTTCCTTTTTACCGGTACCAGGGATCGAACTCACGACTGCCTGCTTGCAAGGCAGGCGCTTATGCCGCTGAGCTAAATCCCCAGCCCCTGAGCCTGTTTTATTTACAATTGAAAATTTCAGATGCAGGAAAGTAGAGAGAATTAGTATTATGAGCAGCCAGCCCTGACCCATCAACAGCCTCTGTCCCGTCAGCTGTGGGCCATCGGGTTAATCTGGGCTCCCTGTCAATTCTTCCTGGGTGATGTTGAAGCAAATGCCAGATGTATTGTATCATTCCCTGATTAAATATTCCACTTTGTAGAACAGAAGATTAAGACATCATCACAATAGCATTATGACATGTAAGAAATTAACAGAGATTCTTTAGTCTCATCAGATATGTATTCAGTGGTCAGATTTCCTAATTATCATTTTTTATAGTTTTCAGATCAGATTTAAAAGAAGTCCACTCAGATGTTGATACCTGTAAAGTATGTTAGTTTTTAAGTCTCTGCCTGCCCCCTCCCCCACTTTTTTTCTGTAAGTTACTTTTTGGAACTTATAGGGCTCCTAGGTATTGGGTAGGGGATTATCAGGGCAGGAAAACCAGTGTAAGGTTTGCCAGAGTCAGTGAGGTGAGGGGTGCAGGAGGCCAGGAGATAGGGTGGCTGGTGGGTGCTGTGGGCTGGAAGGGAGAAAGAGCAGTCAAGGCTGGGTTCCTGTTTCCTGCTGGGGCTGGCTTCAAGAGGATGAGGTTGACACAGTGGTTTCAGTGCCTGTGTCTTTGAGGGGAAGAGGAGGCAGGGTTTTTTTTTTTTTTTTTTTTTTTTCTTGAGACAGGGTCTCGACAAGTACTCCAGGCTGGACTTGAACTCACAGTGTAACCCAGACCGGCCTCGAACTCAGTGATAATCCTGCCTCAGCTTCCTGAGGGCTGGGATTACAGGTGTTCCACACCATGCCTGGCCAGGGTGGGGTCTTATAGGATGACTAGGAGTTTCCTCATGGCTCCAGCAGCTGCTTTCTCTCTGTTTCCAGCTCTGAGCAGCTGGCCTGGGCTTCTGCCTGCTTCCTCCTGTGACCTTCCGCCCAAGTTCTCTCCCAGCTTGGCCCCTGGTGGTCTTTTTTTGGGATCATCAAAGCCCTTAAGGGTGACTGGTTCCCATATGGGCCTTGTCTCTAGGGAAGTACCACTGCCCGGTGCTGTTCACTGTGTTCACTAACAACACCTACATTGTGGCCATCAAGACTACTGGCAACGTCTACGCCTATGAGGTGGGTCCTTGCTGTGGGGCTGTGAGACAGCATGGCACCAGGCCTTTGGGTATGTGCTTTGGGGATTTTCTATTGGCCTGGATGTGCTGGGGTAAGCTGGGCATAGCAGTCATGACATAGCCTTGTGGGACTGGGAGTCACAGCCAACAACCAGCATAGGCACCCTGCTGAGCTCTGGCTGGGCACTTCCCTATTTCCAGATAGACCCAGGAAGGGGGAGAGGCTTTCTGTGGCTTGCAGACTGGAAATCCCAGCAGTTCTGGCTGAGAAGGGGCCCTCAGAGTCTAGGCCCTTGGAGGGCTGAGTCCCGTGGGATGGGGCAGCAGCTTCCCAGGAGGGAGCTGTCCACACACAGTGGCAGTGCCGGGCAGGGGGAGGAGCTCCTTCAGCAAGTGGTATAGGCATGAGGGGGAGCAGCTTCTGCACAGGTCCTGCTGCTCAGGATAGAGGCCGGGAGCAGCCCCCCATTGCAGAGCAGATTTGTGCCCCTTTGCTTCCTCACCTGGACATTTGCAGGGTCAATGTGACCATTGCTGTCCAGGACTCTTTAGCTCAAGCAGAGCATGTCTGGACTGCCCTGCGAGGGCCCGCATCTTGTGTGCTTGTTCATTGGTGCTCATCTCTGGCCCTAGCCTTGGGCCTGGCATGTGTCGGGGCTCAGTAGACATGGGAGTGAATAGGAAGTGGCTTCATTAAGCCCGTCGGCTGCTCTGTAAAATGTAGCTGGATCCTCCCTTGAGCAAGCTGGGTCCCAGTCACTGTTCAGGCGCACAATGCCCCCAGCCCTGCCCTTCCCAGGGGGTGGGGGCATTGTGGCAGATACAGGATCATCCCTGTCCCTCTTCATGGTGCTGCTGCCAGGCCAGGGTGTCTGGCAGACTTCATCATGCCTGCTCCCTCCTGTCTAGGCAGTGGAGCAGTTAAACATCAAGGCCAAGAACTTCCGGGACTTGCTGACTGACGAGCCCTTCTCTCGGCAGGATATCATCACCCTCCAGGTGAGTTTCACCGTCCTGCCCACTAGCTGTCTGCCTCTGTGGTCTCCTCCCACCACTCTGCCTACCTGTTGCACAGCATTCTCAGCACCTTTGCCTTTTTCCCTTGGTTACGCTGGGCCTTGGCTGGTTTCCCTACTCCTGGGCCATCTGTGCCCCTCAGGGATCAGAATGAAGTGGCCACCTTGCAAGCTGGCTCTCCTCCGGCCACCTCAAAGACAGGGTCCCTGCAGGTGTCAGCCCCAAGTAAACTGATGAGAACTCCACATAGAAAAGCAGGGGGCAAGGGGCTGGGGATTTAGCTCAGCGGCATAAGCGCCTGCCTTGCAAGCAGGCAGTCGTGAGTTCGATCCCTGGTACCGATGAAAAACGAAAAAGACAAAAAAAAAAAAAAAAAAAAAAAGCAGGGGGCAGCCTGGATAGAGCTGAGGCCGGGGCAGGGAGGCAGGAGTGTCTGGTTCCCCTCTGTGACTTGTCTCATTCTGATAAGAACTTAGCCCGTGGCTGCTCAGGCCACCCTGTGACTGCCTTCCACCAAGTGAGGCACCTCACTGGTAGGCAGAGCAGGGAGCAGTTTGGTGAATAGCTAGCCACTCTTCGCCCTGTCCCCGCCCACCCCTACTTACTGCCTCTTCCCATGGGGTACCTGCCCACCCCGTGTTGCCTGTGGCAGCCACCCGACTGCAGCCTTGGATTCACTCTTTCTGGGCGTTCTCTTTTTGCCACAGGACCCCACCAATTTGGACAAGTTCAATGTCTCCAACTTCTTCCATGTTAAGAATAACATGAAAATAATAGATCCAGGTGTGTACAGGGCTCTTCTGGGTGGAGTAGGGCGGTGCTCCTTGGGCCAAGCTCCACCTTATTAGGACCAGGAACCTCAGGCATCTGGCTTCAGCCTAGGTCAGCTGCCAAATCTGTGCCCAGTGTCTGACTTTAGAGAAGCAGCTGACTGCAGCCATGGAAATGCCAGCAGGCCAGACTTGCCACCCTGCCAGGACATCTCCCCACTTCTCCTCAGCCCTGGGGGCTGTGTCCTCCCTGGATTGCAGTTGGGGATACAGTGCCCAGGGGACACTGATAGAGGTATCGTGGGGATAGAGGCTCCGGGTGATGCCAGGTGTCTGTTCTGGAGATGGCTGGGTCCTTGGTCCCTCTGCTTCAGTAAGACTCGTGCCCAGAGATGAGTTAGCTTCAGGCTGCAAAGGACAGCTTTCAGGTGCTCAGTGATGAGCACTGTATGAGCCACTTAGAATTCAGAGAGGCTGAGGACATGATCAGGATAGATCTGAGCTCAAGAGATCATAAGGCTGAGATCTGGGGCCCAGGATGCTGACCTCCACCCACCCAGAGCTGAGCTACAGCTCTTCTGCAGGGGTTCAGATGGGGCTTTTCATATCAGGAAAGACCCCAGACACTTCTGTCCCTGTAAATAAAAATCACTTAAAAACACAAGAGGGCCCTGGGGTTTAGCTCAGCAGTGTAAGTGTTTGCTTGGCAAATGCAGGGTCGTTAAGTTTGATCCCCGGTACAAAAAAACAAAAACAAAAACAAAAAAACACCGAGCAAAATACACATTGTTAAAAGGCTGGAATATACAGATAAATATAAAGGAATTAGAACTGTCTCTGAGCCCCTATTCTCCTACCCCAAGATTCCCATTAAGGTGCTAGCATTCCCACTAGTGCTGGCACGGCCCAGAGCAGTATATGGGCAATACTGTCACAATACAGGGCAGTACTGTCGCAAGCCTGCCTGTGGCTTATACTGCTGTGATACTGCTCTGAATTTTTCCCCACCCCACCCATCTGTGGCCCATGCTGGTTTCAGCAGCTCAGAGCCTCTGTGCTGTCTTGTAGATGAGGAAAAGGCCAAGCAGGACCCATCTTACTATTTGAAAAACACAAACACTGAGACCCGAGAGACACTGCAGGAGCTCTACAAGGAGTTCAAAGGGGATGAGATTTTGGCAGCCACCATGAAGGCCCCTGAGAAGAAGAAAGTGGACCAACTGAATGCTGTGAGTGAGCAACTTCATCACGTGCCTCTCTGAGTCCTACCAAGTGGTCCTGGGGGAAGGGGTCATGGGCCTGGGATTCACGGGAGGAGGCAGTGAGACCCCTCTGTCCCCTAAACCTGTGGGTCCAGAGGCCCTGGATGTCCAGAACTCCAAAGCTGCCAGTATGGCTGGATTTGGGGAAGGTGAAGGGCCAAACACACCTCCATGCCGTATGCCCAGTCCCTGCCCCAGCCTGGGTGACAGCTGCCTGCCAGTTCTGGGGGTTCTAGCAGCTGCTTTTATACCTTAGAACGTAGTAGCCGCAAACATGTAGGTCTGTGGAGGCAAGAACATAGGACCCGTGGGTGTCCTGGGCAAAGCCAGGAGACCGAGGGACTGCTGAGGTGTCTGGGGCCACCATGTCCATGTCTCATCAAGGCCCGTTAGTGGTGACGGTGCTGGGTTTGTGTCTAGCCCATCAGCCTAGATCTGCTCTCCCTGCCCTGTTGAGACAGAGCCTGATGAGCCAGGTCAGTGGGGAGGACAGAAACCAGGGCCAGCAACTCTCAGGTTCTCCATGAAGAGTTATTTAGGAAAATGTGGAAAATTAAAAGAGTTTGTTGTCCATAATCTTCCCCCAGAACAGTTACTCCTAGCAATTTGGTATTTTTTTTTCTTATGGGACAAGTACCACCCCCCTTTTTTTCTTCTCTAGAAAAGAAAAATTTATGATGACACTTATTTTCCTGATTAAAGTGATCATGTGTTTACAAAAGCAAAATTTGAGCTGGGTGTGGTGGCTCATGCCTGTATCCCTGCACTCAGGAGGCTGAGGCAGAAGGACTGCTGTGAGTTTGAGGCCAGCCTGAGCTACACAGTGAGTTTAAGACCAGTCTGGACTACAGAGTGAGACCTTGTCTTAAAAAAAAAAAAAAAAACTTGAAACCTTTAGAAAGAAATAAGTCCTCCCTGGTATCCTGTCCTTGCAGAAGGCTAGTCCTATGTGGAGTGTTATTCCCTTAACAAGCTGGAGTCCAGTTGAGGCCATGGGTCCCAGGCTCCTACCAGACGGTGCTCACTTCCCTGGCCTGGCCTCCCCACCCCAACCCTGACTGCTGTGGCAGTGCTCCTGGTTCTCATCCTTGCTGGCTCCCAGGCCCAGGCCTAGAAGTGGTACGGTGAGGGTGGGCTGTCCTGCTGTCGTGCAGCTGGGGCTCGGGGAGGCTGAGCTGGAGGGAGAGGCCCCAGCAGGGCTGAACAACACTGTGTTCCTGCCAGGCTCACTATTCCACCGGGAAGGTCAGTGCATCCTTCACCTCTACTGCCATGGTGCCAGAGACCACGCACGAAGCAGGTAACTGCCCTGCCTCTCCCATTGGTCACTAGGGTCTAGTTTGTACTGGTGGTGGTGGGTCTCTACGATGCCCACCTTTTTCTTGATGCCCCTGTGGTTCCTGCAGCTTGGCATTTCTTGTCTGTGTGGGCTCAGCAGCAGGCAGTGGCCTGCGGAGGTGGTTTTGGTGTTAGGCAAGGCTGCATGAGCACCAGCCCTGGCCAGGTGGTGCTCTCATCGTACTGCCCTGTCCCCTCAGGCCTGTCCTTGGTGTGGATCTCCTGTATCCCACCATATTCTCAGCCATGTTCTTCAGCAACATCCCCCTTTTAGTTGCTGAGCCCATTGAGCCCTCGTGGCCCCTGGTTCAGTGCCCTGGTGAGCCTGCTCATAGGCAGGGCAGATCCTTGGCTTTGGACTCACGAACTGTCTGCACAGCTGCCCCTGTCCTGCCATGACTCATGTGTCAGATGCTGCAGGGGCCAAGTAATGGGATCACCCCAGGTGAAGGGCAGGCATGGAGCTGGAGGCTCTGTTTGCAGCTGCCATCGACGAGGACGTACTGCGCTACCAGTTTGTGAAGAAGAAGGGCTACGTGCGGCTGCACACTAACAAGGGCGACCTCAATCTGGAGCTGCACTGTGACCTGGTGGGTGTGGCTCCTGCTCCCTGGCCATTATGCAGTGGGGTCATTCAATTGCCAGGTCTCAAGTGTGGAGCTTATAAGAAACTCCAGTATGTCCCCAAGAGGAAGCTGAAGTGTCCTGCCTTCCTTCCTGGGGCCAAGTTGCATCAAGTGTGTCTCTTTTGCCTGTGCCAGGTGGATGTGCCGTGTGTGTACCTGGGTCAGGGCCCCAGTTCCACCTCTGCTCTGCCAGGGGTTACACAGCAACAGGTTACACCTGTTGCTTAGCTTCTGAGATCTTTGTCCTGTTGGGTCCTGACCAGACCAAGGTCTCCAAGACCAGCAGCCACTTATCCTCACTGTGTGATAAGGGCTCTTGGTGGGCTTTTGTGACCCTGTTGTGGGCTACTGTGAGTCATAGAAATATTGGGCTATTTTGCAGACACCAAAAACCTGTGAAAACTTCATCAAGCTCTGCAAGAAGCACTATTATGATGGCACCATCTTTCATAGATCTATCAGGAACTTTGTGGTGAGTAGCACAAGCCTGCCTGTGTGTATGAGCAGGGGATTGTGTCTGCCCTTCCTCTGGTACCCTGGCCTGGCTGTAGTGGCTGGTATGTGTCCTATAGATGAATCCTGCCAGGTACCTACAGGCTGGCCCTGGAGTCCCCCCTCTGACACAGCTGGGCTGACTAGGGCCCTTGTCCTAAGAGTGGTGAGCCCACTAAACGGGAATGCACACAGGCAGGTGGGTGATGGTGGGTGGGCAGGAGGTGGTCTCAGGCTGCCTTGCTCACTAGCTTTTGTTCTCACAGATCCAGGGTGGGGACCCTACAGGCACAGGCACAGGTAGGTCCTAATACGGGGTCCATCCCTGACCCCTTTGACACTCGGTGGGGCCTGAAAGGGACAGGGGTTGGGAGAGCCCTGGATGTGGAGCTTGGTAGACAAGGCAGAATTGCTGCTGAGCCTTTAGCACTTGGTGCCCCCTCAGGCATGATCCTGTTTCCCATTTTGAGGTGGTTATGAGGCCTCCGTGACAGGTGGTGAGGGTTTCACATTCTTCCTAGGCCCCCAGGGACACCCCTCTTCAGGAGACAAGGGACTGGCTGTCCCTCCTGTTGCCTTTCCAAACTGCATTTGTGCTCTGCACAGCACCATGGAAAAGCTTATGCAGGCTGGTGAATGAGCAGTGCTCAGCTGGTGTGTGCTCCCTGGGGCCCCGGGGAGGCTGGCAGCAAGCCATCTGAGGACCAGGGCCCCCAGAATTGCTCATGCCCTAGCCAGTGCCTGACGCCCCGGTGAGATTCAAGTGTTTGCTGCCAGCCAGTTGTGCTCTTTTCTGTTCCAGGAGGGGAGTCGTACTGGGGAAAGACCTTCAAAGATGAGTTCCGGCCCAACCTCTCACACACGGGCCGAGGCATCCTCAGCATGGCCAACTCAGGGCCCAACACCAACAAGTCCCAGTTGTGAGTCTCAGCCCAGTTTTCCTGCCCAGCTGCTGTGGGGTGGCCTGAGAAGGGAGCTGAAGTTGCTTTCAGGCTCTTCCTCTGAATACTTCCTAAAGTTATGCCAGGCCCAAGTCACATCCAGACAATGTAGCACTCCTAGGCTGAGAAGTGCTCCTGTGTCCAGAAAGGGAGCTCCTGTACCCGTCAGCAGGCAGCGCTGCATGGTGTTGTGTGCCCACTAGAGAGGCAGTCAGTAGTTTACCAGGAGGTCCTGAGAGGCCCGTTTGAAACGCAGCTGATGGCACCAGGACTGTGCGAGTGTATGGCCAGGAGGTGTGTCATAGCGGTCTCGTGTACTGGACCAATGCATTGGGTGGGAGGCCAATAGGACAGGTGACCAGGAAAGGGCCGCAGGCCTGTGTAGGGTTATCTAATTGATACTCTGCTTTCCCGGATCTTCCTTTATGCTTCTGAACCACTCTTTTTGTAGCCTTTTGATTTCCCTTCATATGGAAGCTCAATGACTTATTTTTGGACTAAAGGAGTCTATTTAAGTGTAAAGCCATTAGGTGACATCTTGTTTGCCAAGACAGGACATGTGGAGAATTTTTCCAGTCCCCACAGCCATCTTGTATACTAACTTTGTTGCACACTTTTAAGTCTGCCCTGTTTCATGCCATACCTAATGGAGTCATACCCTGGGTTTGTATTTGAGTTTCTCAGTTCCTTTGCTCTGTTGCTTCCTTTCTCCTGTCTGCTGTCCTTGGTCCTTCAGCAGATGTTGTGATGTGGCTGGGCTCTGGCCCCCATCCCACTGCCTTCCTGAAGCAACTGCTTGGGTGAGCTTAGGAGAGGTTTAGCACTGTCCAGGGAGCCACAGCTCTGGACTTTCTTCTGCCTTGCTGGTGGCCTGGGGTTACTTTGGTGGCCTCTCAGACAGCCTTGCCTGGACAGGCAGAGGATAGGAGTCAGGTATGAAAGATATGCATGGAAATTGCAGGTTCCTGGAGGGGCCCTGAAGACCAGTGGGCTCCCAGTGTGGCCCCAGTAGTCACCAGGAAAGGGCAGGTGAGTGGAGTGCCTCTCAGTGACCAGGAGGTCACTGACCCTCTGTCCTTTCCCAGTTTCATCACCTTCCGTTCCTGTGCATACTTGGACAAGAAGCACACCATCTTTGGACGGTGAGTGCTATGAAAATTCTGGGGTGTTGCACAGCTTGACAACCCACCACCAACACCACTACCACCCCCACCCCCGCCATCTGGGAACCTCTCACTGAAACTGGGTTTGATGTACCCTTTTTATGTCACTGCTGAGGGCTGTGCAGAGGAGGCTTGGGTGTTTCAGAGGTGGGGAAAGTCAGCTGGCCCTGAGGAGTTAAGGAGATGAGTCCCAGCTCATCTGTCCAGCTGCCCTAATCCAAACCCTCTGCCTTCCCACTCTGGGCATCTTTTGGATGATACCGAAGTCAGAAGTCTAGGCCATATCCTGTATTTTTCTTTATGTTACAGGCAGGACATCAGCAGACTTTCTCATTAAAGGCCTAGATGGTAATTCCGGCCACAATCTCTGTGGTGAGGACTTGGCTCTGGGGTTGCAGCAAAAAACAGATAGGGACAATGTGGGAGCCGCAGAGCGGTTCAGTCCACACACCAGAGAGCTGCATCTGGCCAGGCCTTGTCTCCTGACCACACCTCCTCTCCAGCAGCCCTTGCCCCTGGCTGCTGCTCTGGACTGTTGGGCCAGTGTGGCCCGGTGGTGATTTCATGACCAACTTGGCCCATCCTGAATGCCTCAAGAACTTGACTGTAGGCAGTACTGCCCGGGGCACATGCAGACCCCCTTCTGTCCTTCTGCTGCAGGGTTGTTGGGGGCTTTGACACACTGACAGCTATGGAGAATGTGGAGAGTGACCCCAAGACAGATCGCCCTAAGGTATGTGCCCCTGTAGGTGTTGGGGAGGGAGGCGGCCCACTGCTTACTTACTGAGCCCTGTTACCAGGAGGAGATCCGCATCGATGCCACCACTGTGTTCGTGGACCCCTACGAGGAGGCTGATGCCCAGGTGAGGCAGGTGCAGCTTGCCATGGGCAAGGCTGCAGCAAGCTGCTCTTCCTGCTGGGCTGGGAGGACGAGGGACTGGCCACAACCCTGCTCCTCCCCAGATTGCTCAGGAGCGGAAGACGAAGCCTGAAGTGACCCCAGAGGACAAGATGAAGAACAGCCAGCCCCAGCCTGGGAGCCAGGGCCCCCAGACATACCGTCAGGGAGTGGGCAAGTACATCAACCCGGCAGCCACGTAAGTAGGGTGTGGCGGGTAAGGAAACTACAGGCACAGCTTGGACTATCCATGTGTTTTAGGGCCACCCCAGCCAGAGGGACCTGCTCAGAGCAGGTTGGCCAGGGCCTCTGCAGCCCGAGGCCATCAGGACCAGGGGGTGAGGGTGAAGCACAGCATTAGGCATTTGGGATGCCTCTGAGGGAGTGAAGACTCCAAGTCACCTTGAGGGGACTATAGAGGGTGGAGGGTAGCAGCAGAGGCTGTCAGCTCAGCTTGAGGCCTGGCACCTGTGTGGCAGCGGGAACCTGGTTCTTCTCAGGAAACGCGTGGCAGAGGAAGAACCATCAACCAGTACAGCTGCCCCTGTAGCCAAGAAGAAGTCCAGCTGGGGTTTTGGGGACTTCAGCTCCTGGTAGCAGCAGCCCACACAGAATCCAGGAATTCTGGTAGGAATACAGGGCTGGGGCTGGGGGGTGTCCATAGCACTGAGCTATCTACCCTGGAAGCCGCCTCTCAGCCTGTGATCCAGTCAAGCTCTTGCCTATTGCCCAGCCACTCTTTCCTAGCCCAACCTCCTTGTCCCTTGTGTACCAAGGGCCTGGCTCCTTCCCAAGCAAGGCTTGGGGATGCCTGGCCTAATGAGGAAATCTGTGTCTCCACCCTGGCTTCCCTGGCCCTTCTTTCATCTCCCCAGGGAAAACTCAATACACTAGCCTGCATCACTCACCTGGACCTGGTTAGAAACACATTCTCAGGGCCAGACCTGACCCTGAGCTTCTAGGAAGTGGGCTTCCCAATCAGTTGCGACAAACCGTCAGAGGTTTTCAACCCCAGACAAGAACATTGGCAATACTTTCATACATCTTATCTGCTGCCTGTTCCTTGGGACTGGGAGCCCCATCTGTATGCTTGGCCTCTTGGCTGGGTCACTCTTAGATAAGGTTGACAGCTCCTGCTGTGACAAGGATGAGCAGACTGTCCCCACTGGGGAGATGGCCTTGCTGCTTAGACCCACCCCAGTCACCAACCTCTTTGGCTTCCAGGCCAGTTGTATCAGTGTCTCCTGATTCTTCCTTGATCCTTACTTTTCTGTGAGGTGTATTTAAGAAATTCGTGCCTCAGCCTGAGCTTCCCTTTTCCTGCTCTCAGGCCCTGCTACCTCAGCTTTCTGGGAAGCCTTCTCTGGGACAGTGTCTTGGAGTCAGTGTTTCCTGACTGTCCCCTGCCTGGCCTGGGTTCTCCATTATTCTTGGGCCACTGCCCACTTCCCTCCTCCACCAAATTCTTACTCAGGCTTCATTCTTTTTTTTTTTCTTCCCACACTTACAACCTTGAACTTGTCAACAGTTCTCAACAGCTCTTGCTTCTGGAATGCACCATGGCTTCTATGTGTCTTTCTCTGATGCTGAAACCACAGGCCTGAGCCCTACATGGCAGGCAGCATCCACCCCTATCAGTGTGCACTTTGCCCTCGGCCACTTCATATTGCTGCTCAGTGAGCTTCATGAGGCATGTTTTTCCTTTGTCACCAGGCTTTATTGCAGTCACTGGCTTTGGCTGTGCTTCTCCCAGGCTAGCTCCCCTTTTCCAGCTTGTCACTCCTGCTCATCAGTCGGGGACTCCAGCACCTCATGACCTTCCAGTCTCCATCCCACACCCTCCACATCTGCTGCCAGGCTCCTTCCCCTCAGTTCCTCCCCACTGACATTTCATGTTTGCAAGAGGGGAGGGTTCAGAGGCTGCAGGTTGACCAGGTAGACGAAAACCTATAGGCTGCTGAGCCAGCATTGGGGCAGGGAGCGGTGTGCTGGGGAGAAACTGGGACTGAGCCCAACACCTTTGGGGTGGTAGAGTCACCCTAATCATATATTCCCTTCCCAATCATATTCTCTGGCCATGTTCTAAAGCTCTCTAACCAGGTCATGAGAGAAGCAGGACCCTCGCAACCCTCAGTCCCTGGAACAGCCCTGAGACCTTGATGTGGCCACTGCAGGACATCAGGCCCATCCCTCCATATTAAGGAACAGCCTCCCCACAGTGAGCAGCAAGTAACGGAGAAGTCTGACATAGGAAGCTTTATTTATAAACCTCACACGGACACAGGACCAAGGCTGGCTGTGTGGTCAGGGGGAGAGGACAGGCTGAAGGTGAGACATGTGCTCGAGCTTGGCAGTCCTGTCCTCAAGGTGGACTTTCCAGCTGCTTCCAGGCTGCCATCCAGTGTCCTCCTGCCCAGCAGCCCCATCAGCCACCTGCGCCTGCCTTGCGGGGAGGAAGGAGAGGGCCCAGTCCATGCCCTCGCTTGCCCTTCAGGCCTTTGACAAAAGAGGGTTGACATTTTTGTAGTTCGTTTTAGAGCTTTCTAGATATTAAAACCACAAGGATTTTATAATTGCCTGATATGGTCATCAGGTAAAATAAAGGACTTTGGGGGAAAAAAAATCTCATTTCTGATCCTTTCAAATATCTGACAGATGCCATCAATAAGCATTAAGGTATAAAAATACTGTGTTTATATATAAAACAGCAACAAAGAACTGCATTTCTAAAGCAAATGTACTGTGCCAGAGGAGACTACAAATGTATTCATAATCCTGGCATTACTTGCCACTGTTCTCAAGGAAATACTTTAAATAATTTAAATAAGAGTCACAGGATATTTATCGTTTGGGAATTTGAGAGTGTGGAACAGCATTCCAGCACTTCACCAGCACATCTGGTTAGTCTTGGATCACTTCCCCTGAAGCCAGCTCATGGTCAGTTCATTTGGTTTAAAAAGGAGCTTGTATTTTGCGGAAGAAAGTACAAAACAAGCCGTAAGAATACCAGTAAAAAGTTCTCAGTCAGCGCCATCACAAAAGACAATACAAAAATGAAAGTGCTCAAACTGAAGGAGCAGTAAACTCGCCCAGAACATAGAAAAGCTTTAAATATAATCTTACTATATATATACATAAACTGGTTGGAAGAACTCTAGAAAATTTGCTCTGTAATTTCAGTGAAGCATCCGTGACAACGAGCCCACCCATTTCCCTTGGTCCGCTGAGGCTCTGGCCTAAGTTCCCACTCTCAAGAGGCATGAAGATCGGAAGGGAGCGTCATCTTACTTTCACTGACTAGTGCTCGCTCGTCTGTCAGGGAAGCTGCCTTTTCGCCCCTGTTCCCATTTCAGCCAGTGGAGTGAAGAAGCGGTCTTCGGATTGCAGAGCGTGGCAGCAGGAACACCACTGGCTGGAGCAATTCCTTGCTTGGGATGCCTGGGGGGGGAACCCTCGGCCACTTCATATTGCTAACTTAGGACTATAGGGACAGCCAGGCCAATGTGTCTGCAGGGAACTAGCTCTGGGAGACAGCAGCCTGCTGGACCACAGCCACAGGCAAAGGCTTACAGGCCATGCCACGATGTCCTCTAAGGTGAGGATGTAAAGGAACATGTCACTGTTGATCCTGCTGAGCTGAAGCATCTGTTATGCTCCGCTGGGCCACGGACAGTGACACTCCCCACCTTCCCAGGCCAGGTTTTGGGCAAAGGAATGGCACCAAAAGGGAAGCTTGGGGCAAGCAGTGAGCTGGAGCCAGCTGGCAGCTGAGTGCCTATAATGGCCACAGCCTGTGGGCCTGGGCTGGGGACAAGGAGCTAAAACTGAGTGGGAAGTCACTTTCTTATCCTCAGCCAGCTTGCTTTTGCTGTCACTAGACCAGCCGTGTCCACGGCAGTGTCAGCTGTCCCAGCCAGGCCAGGGCTATCCTCTCTGCCTCCTTTGGCCCCTTTTTCTTGTCCCTCTGCCCTGAGTTGGTACACAGTTTGGTTTTGGAAAACCAAAACTTCACTGGGAACTTTTTCTGGCTTTCATTCTCTTCAAATTGATCTGCAGAGGCCCAAGAGGATAGCAGGCCATGACCTAAAATCCAGCGACAGAAATGCAGGTCTTGGGGGACTGCATAGACAGGCTCCTCTGGGTCAGGCCACTCGATGGGCAGGCAGGGAGGGGGCCTCCTGCAGCAAACCAAACATCTTCTTTACAGTATTTAGCCCTGCTTTAACTCTGACCCTTTCTGAAAAAAATTTAATATAGTAGACTTGCAAGTTTTAAGGTTTTTTCCTGCTGGTTCTGGCAAACCTTTCATTAGGCAAAATGAATTCTTTTTCTTCAAGTACATCCAGGGTCAACAATGAAGTTGGACTTAACATTGGTCCAGAATGCCATTCTCTAACATCCCGGGTCAGCCACTCAGCAAGTCTGGACATGTGAGCATCTGTCAGCACCACGGGCACAGTCTCCTTAGTGACTGGGCTTCTGCAGGCCCCCAGGATGGGCTTCCTTAGGGACTAGTTCACTTGCTTTCTAGATAATGGCTTAAATAAATAAATAAGACATTTGTTAACATAGTTCTCTATTTATAGCTTATCTAAAATGCTACCAGTGGTGGCCTCTGTTTTTCAACAGGCTTAAAAACAATGTTCTTTGTGTATAAATTTGTTGACTGCTTCTGGAAGATTCTTAAATGGATACTGTATCTTCACAGTTCATCTGCAGAAAAATAACCAATGCGTAGTTTCAAGAATTAGGGGGAAACTGTAGTAGTTTCCTCTTTAAAAAAAAAAAAAGTGATGTGACACTTGCTGTTGAAGGAGACCTGTCTCTGGTCTGAGAGACTTGGTCTGTACTGACTGTGAGAGACAGCCACACTGCATGGAAGGCATGAGTTAAGAGAAAGAACTAACTTGCCAGGTAAGTTGTCAGTTGGTTAATTTGTTCTCTAGAACTTGAGAAGTTAAAAAAAGAACACTAAAAACTTGCAGCAACAACTGTATACATGAAGAGGACACAGATGGGGACACCTTACCCACAGAAATGGCTCAGAGAGGCCTCTGGGTGTCGCAGCGTGGCTAGCCTGCAAGATTAAGTTCAAGAAGTATTGCCGTCCAGGATGCTCTATGTCTCCATTATATTCAGTCTCTTTCACAAAACAGTATTTAAAGGAGAATGGGACATTTCCACTTTACTCCCAGCCATTGTCTTTGATCATGTGGGCAAGCTCAATAATAAATTTTCCTTCCTTATATTTCTGACTGCTCTCAAAGGCATGTTCCTTGGGGAAAAAGCAGAGAGAGAAGGTTTCAGGACAGGATCTACTTCAGTTTTCAACTTCTCCACACTCTTGGCAAAGAGAATAAATCTCTTATATCATCTGCACTCAGATGTTCCCTGAGCCAAGTGCTGACCCTGTGCCGGGGAGTCTGCCTCTGTGACAAGTCCATGGGGGGCACGCAGGTCCTCCTTGTGCTTGCAGGGCAATGTTCTATATTTACTGGGGCTGGGGACAAACTCTGGTTGACTTTGCCTGGCATGCTTTGCTTCCCTCCCCGCCCAGGACTAGGGATTGAACCCAGGGCCTTTGCACTAAAGCTGTATTCCCAACCCTTTCTAATCTTTATTTTTAGGGTCTTGCTAAATTGCCCAGGATGGGCTTGAACTTGCAATCCTCGTGCCCAGGCCCACAGGGTGCTGGGATTATATTTGTGTGCCAACACACTCAGCTTGCCTAGCTTGATTTGAAGCCTTGGGTTCTGTCCTCAGCACACAAACAGATCGTTTACTGATTGTCTAGAATGTGTGGGGCAAATCAGGAGACAAGAAGAGTCACATTAAGTTCAGCGAGATAATGGAAAAAACAGGTCAAAGCAGAGAGTCGGCTTCTTTGGGGGGCTATGACTATAGACACTCCTCTTCATTTTGCCACATCAAGGGTGTGGCTTGATGCCAGGTGCTGAAGACACATGACTAGGGCAAGTCATATTTGGTAGACCCGGGAGAGACGGTTTAGTGGGGACAGGTGCACCAAGAGATGTACTTGGTACAGAGGCCATGAAGGGAAGGCAGGGCGCTGGGAAGAGGGGCCACAGAGATGGTACAGAGCTAAACAGGTAGAGGCTCTGGGGACCCCTGAAGGTTCTACAGAGCTTTGCTCTGTGCTGGGGATTGTGTTCTCTCACAGCCCATAGGGAATCCAGGAGACCAGAGATGATCAGGAATTCAAGCAAGAAGGGCACAGGCAGCCTCCACCTGAGGAACTCCAAAGCCAGGAGATGCCTTCCAAAAAGGAGGGTGCCAAGGCAGGCATCTCAAATGCCACTGTCAGGGTACATTATCTACAAGGTGACCAGGTGGCATCTTCTAGGACAGAAGCTAAGCAGAGGCAGATGTCTGGAAACTGCCCACACGAAGTGGTCAAAACTATGCCAGGCAGCTGTGGCCCAGAACAGGAAACTCAGCAGACACCCAGGTGCTGGACAGTGGCAGGAACAGAGACTGAGCACCTTGCTGGCCTCTGCAGTGCAGGCAAGAGGCCTCAGGGAATCTTGTGTGAGGCCATGCTTGCAGAGTTGGGGGCAGAAGGGCCATGAGGGGCTAGCTTATTATCTTTGAGAGAGAAGGAGGTGACAGATGAAGGCTGGAGATGACAACATCTAGCTCAAGGTATGGGGAGAAAGCAAGACCTCCAGAGAAGAGACTGTGGGCTGGGGGTGGCCCTCTGACTCCAACCCCAGCAGTTTCTGCTGCCCAGTGTGGGTATAGAGCCATCCACTTGGGTTGGGCTCAGAGCAGCTCTGTCACCAGTCACATGCAGCACACACGGTGGGCCCTGGGTCTGCACTATCCCTAACAGGTTTCTAAAGAAACTAGTGGAAAATGTCATTTTTTACTGTGATGCCATCTATTCTGCTGCAGAAGTATGTGTGACTCCTCTGCATCTGGCTGTGTGTGTACAGCTTGTTGTTAGAGAGGCTGGTACTCACGTATTTCCACCCGAGCGTGGTCTTACAGTTCTCACAGTAGATGTCCGCGACTGCATGCAAGCCGGTGAGAAGGACCCTCTCCTCGGCAGGGCCACAGCCCACGTTCACCCTGTAGGGACACGGGGTGACTGTGTTAGATATCCCCATTCCTGGCCCTACTGCTGGCTTCTCCCACACTGGCCCAGTACTTTTCATTAAAAGACCACCAAAGTTAGGGAGGGCTCCTAAGAGAGGACCCTGCACCTCTCAGCTCCCCTACTACTGCAGGCCACCGCCTGTATGGAGAGGGAACAACTCTTGCGGGGGCAGGATACTGGGAGTCAAACCCAAGGCCTCCCATAGGCTAGGTGTATACTCTGCCACCGAGCTCCAGTCCTGGCCTAGGAATAACTTTTTATTACCCGAGGAGGATGTCAACGCAGAACAGGCTGGCGGGCTAAATGCTCAGAGAAAACCACCCTTTCAGAAACTCCAGAGCAGGGTCAGACAAGGGCACTGACTGCAGGTGGAACTTCTCTACATATTCCAGCTCTGACTAATTGAACAGGTGGACAGACGCCATCTGCCCAGACCCCAGGCCACAGCTGGATAGAGTAGGAGCAGCAAGTACTCACACGGAGTTGAAGAGGTAGGCTCGTCCCTGGCTGCCCTGAAACGACTGCAAAGAAGAAGCAGCAGGTGTTAGAAGAGTGGTGGTGGCCAGCGCCCAGGGACAGCTCTGTGTCTAAACCCAGGACGAGGTGAGGGTGTGGGCACCTGCACCAGAGGCTACTGCTTTTACAGGTTCCCTTAGCTCCTCCAGAACAGGTGACAAAAGAGCAAATGTGATGTTCCTCCAAACTCCACTACTAATGGTAATGGTCACCAAATACCACGAGATGCTTTAGGGTCTACACTGATTCAGGAAGTGGCTCAGGCTGTTGCTTCAGCATTCTGTAAATGATTAAAATTATGGCACCTCTAGCTTTCAATTTGATTTTTTGAGACAGGCTAAGTAGAACTTGTGAGCCTCCTGCCTCAGCCTCCCACACAGCTGAGATTACAGGTATGTGCCACTGCACCTGGTTTTTTTTCCCCAAGAGACAGGGTCTGAACTACTGGCCTAGAACTACTAGACTCAAGCAATTCTTTTGCCTTGGCCTGGACACCACCAGTGTCAATATATGTTATTTCAATGTCTGATTATAAACAATAATTTTTAAATTAAAAAAGCAGAGCCTCCAGTTGACTCTTGATATCACCTGAGAATGAAATCAACCTTTGCTTCAAGCACTGAGCTTTTTTTCTGCCTTGCTTGGTGCTAGTTGCTGTTTTTGTCTTTGATTCTTGTTTGTGGCAGTGGAGACTGAAGTTTGGCCTTACAATGCTAACCACATGCTCTACCACTGAGCCACACTCCTATTGCATCCTTGTTCTGATTTTAAAACACAGGTTTTAGACTTAAAAAGGGGTAGTCCGTCAGGTGGCTTTCTAGGATTACAGAATATTATTCTATGTTGAATTTTATTGTCTCATAGACCTTCATATATTCTTATCAGCCATCAGTTTTCTAGATTGTATTTCTTAATTCTTTCACCTCTTCAAATCCTCAGGTTTTCACCGGGGTTTGGATTAGTGGCAGGAACAGCTCTATGATTCAGTCTCAAACCTCAGTCTCCCCAGAGCACAGGGCAACCAGTGTCTAAAATAGGGCCAGGAAATAAAATGACTTAGGCTTACTGAGCTTTTAGGGCCCTGTTCCAACTAGTCTGCCATAGCAAACAGTGGCTCTAGATGACTGGAAACAGGTGAGCATACTTGTGATCCAATAAAAGCAAAGAGAAGCAGGTAAGGTGCCAGGTTACTGCACACATGGCTCACGGAGGCCATTTGAGCAACTAGATCTGCAGACAAGAAAGGGCGCCCTTGGACAAGGGGATTCCTTGCTAGTGACAAAGGCGGACTCAGAAGCTAGAAAATCCCTATGAGGAAGGAGCCCCCAGCTTCAAGTATATTGTAATCTGCTCCAGTGTTTTGGCTGGGCAAGTGATGCCCATCTGTAAACCCAGCTACTTGATTTAAAGTTGGAAGCCAGCTTGGGCAACGAGTAAGACCCTGTCACCAAAAGGGCTGCGGACACAGCTCAGCACTGGAGAAAAACATCCTTTTAGTGTTCTCATGAAGTCCTCCAATTGGAATAATGAGATAAGGGAGGGAAGAGAGTTCCCTATTTTCATTGTCTTCCATACCAGTACTAATGCAAGGTCTGACACTTGTTGGCAGCCTGGGTGTTTGCAGAGTTTAGGGCTTGGTATCTCTTCAATCTGCAATGCTCACCTAGTGTCACAATGGATAACAGTTTCTTGCCACTCCCTTCCTAGCTGGCTTCTGCTCTTGATGTAAAGTTAAAAACAGTTAATGGCATTGGGGTTCTTTGAAGGAAGCATCTTAAATTGCTTATGGTTCCCCTAATGATGAATATACTCAGAATTCTCAACAATAATGGTGTCTAACTTTGACAAGTGAAAAGTCATGCCAAGAGCAGGTGTCATGGCCGTGTTATCACTGAGATGCTTTGGAAAACAAGGTGCCTGAGAAGCTTTCCTAGTTTCTTGAACCTTCTAGAGAGGGAAAGGAGCCAGAGGCCACAAGACAGCAGAAACTGGCCTCACAGTTTTTATTTCAGATGACAGAAATGAGACAACCTCTTACTACTGAAAAGACACGTAGATGAATGTTCTTCTAGTTGAGTTAAAAAAAGAAGCTAAAGAAGAGATTCATGAAAGATAAATTCTGAGGGGCTGGGGATTTAGCTCAGCGGCATAAGGGCCTGCCTTGCAAGCAGGCAGTCGTGAGTTTGGTACCGATAAAAACGAAAAAGACAAAAAAAAGAAAGATAAATTCTGACAGGACTTTCAAATGGTTTGGGAGAACGGGCAAGGGGTCAGGGAGATGCTAAGTCAAGTCAGGGATGAGCCAGGGGTCACTTGCCCTCTGGGACTGGTGAGGACTGTGGTTTCCAGAGTGACTGATAACATGTCCATTACATTTTGACTGTTCTAACGGTTCCACATGGCTGAGTGTAAACATCACATACTGCTAACAGACAAAGAGGTTCTTTATTCACATCTTCAAGGCTGTTCGTGGCCCTGTACACAGAAACAACCTAGAGCGTCACACAGGCTTCCTTGCCTGGTGGCCATGCCTTGTGGATAGTTTTGTTTCTTTTCTTTTGATGTTAGGGAGGTTTTCTACTACCAAGTTATTCCCCTCAGCTTTTTTCTGAGCCGCCTCTTTTGTGCACGTGTGTGCGCGTGTGTGTGGTATTGGGGTTTGAACCCAGGGGTCCTCTAACACTAAGCTATAATCATAGCCCTTTTGGTTCTTAATTTTGAGGTAGACTAAGTCCCTACATTTTAGACTCAAACTTGTGATACTCCTGTCTCAGCATCTCTCAGTGCAGGTATTAACAGGTTTGCACCACCATGCCTGATTTTCTTAACTCTTCTGAGTTTTAAAATAAGTTATTGGGCTGTAGGTGTGTAGTTCAATGAATTGCATAGTATATGTGAAGCCCGTGGTTTAATCCTCAACACTGCAAAAGCAGGACTTTGTCAATTCTTATTAAACTACTTCTACAGATTTTCTTTTGCTTCTTGAATGTTCTCTCACTGCTCTGATGAATCACAGACTCATCTTGTTCTTTATGATTTACAGGAGTCCTCGTTGCCAGCCTTGTGGCATCCATGCCAAAATCATCACCAAGACTCAGCCCAGCCATACTGATACATAAACTTTTCAGGAAGTCTATGACAGTTAAGCATTCATCTACTAAGCAGGAACCACAAAGGCAAAGAATCATTGCATGAAGTGCATGCCAGTTTCAGGACACAAACCACTTGCCTTAGAGATCAGCTCATCGTGATTGGCCAGGTGGGCTCTGCAGTGGATACAGCTGTATGTTCGGTGACAGCTTGGCAGATAAGCTTGGAAAGTTTTGGACTTGGTCATCTTCACCATGTCTGCTGCACGTTCCTCACTCAGCTCAGGGCTGACGCTGGAAGAGCTGCGGCTCTGCCAGACTCTGTGACAAAAGAAACACTGGAGAATGCACACAAGAGCCGTTGTTGTCTGGGACAGCGTGTGGCACTATCCACACAGCTGGGATGAGAGGAAATTTTACAACCTGTCAACAAATCAGACAAAGCTGTGAGTTACAGAAAATGAAACACATTATCCACTACTGGCCCAATTATTTAAATACAGGATGACCAAAAAGCTGCATATTTTTGTTAATTTTTATAACAGGAAATATAAAAACAAAAATTTCATCAAATTTATTCAACGAACTGAAATGACACTTGCCAGAGAGACACTTGGGACAATCAGGTTTAGAAACACGTGCAGCCAGAGTGCTGCTCGCAGTAAACTGTGAAGTGTTAAGGAAGTATATCGAGGGCATATGTTGTGAAGAATGGGAAAAGGGACAGGACTAGAAATTAAAAATCTAACTGTCTTTGGTTTTGTCTTTATTTTTTCTGGTGCTGGGGATGGAACCCATGGCCTTGTGCATGCTAAGGACATAGCACACCACTGAACTGCATCCTAGTTCCATTTAAAGTTAGAATACTAGATCTGCTCGTTGTTAACCATTCCACATTCAGTTAGATGCAGCAAAAAGACTACTTTTACATCCAATGTGTTGAGAAAAAGTGTTTGATTAAATTCATCTTATACCACATTTGCTTTAGGAGACAGGAAAGAAAAGGAGCAGCTGGATTCATCCCAAATGCTAGCATAGTGACTTGACGTGCTAGCACTGTTCTATGTGTGAGGGACGCAGGATTAATTAATCTTTATCAGTCCAGAAATAAACTTTAAAAAAATACCAACTCAGATACAGGCGAATAATCTATAGTCAAAAAGTGCCTACACTATTAGGTGAGGGACAGCATAGTATTTTCAACAAACTGGGGAAACCAGATATCCACACCCAAAAGAATAAAGCTGGTCTCTCATCTAAAACCATATACAAAAATTAATTCAAAATGGATCAAATACCTAAATGTGAAAGCTAAAACTATAAAATCTTAGAAGAAAACAGAGAACAAAGCCTTACAGAAGCTAGAGTAGGCTATGATTCCTTGTATGTAACACAAAAATCATAGACAGCAAAGAAAAAAATTGATAAATAGAACTTCATGGAAATTTAAAATACTTGTCCTTCAAAGGACTCTGCAACAGGATGTTATGGAAGAAAATATTTTTAAATATACCTGATACACTGTCAACATTCAGAACATATAAATTTCAGTCAAGCAACACACACACACACACACACACACACACACACACACACACCTTGCTGTATGTCTAGCTATGTGGTCCAAGCTGGCCTCAAACTTGCAGCAATCCTCCTGCCTCAGGTTCCCAAGTATTAAAATTATAGGCAAGCCACCCAGCCAAACCTTATTAAAAATGGACAAAGGACTTAATGTTTCTACAAAGATATGTAAAACTGCACACTTAAAACTGGTCACAATGCTAAGTATCAACTATCTAACATATTTGAAAAGGATTACTTTTTTATTATTTTTGAAAAGAATCTTTACATATTTAACATAGCATTAAAAGAACAAAAGCAGAAGAATCCATCGCTGATCCCGCCAACCCTGCCCCGGCATGGGAGCTGGCTTCTCTCTCTTTCCAGCAGCCCAGCTGTGGCTGTACTCTCAAGTCAGGCATCCTGCAGGAAAGGTGAGCACACAGGATTTTTAGAGCAAACAGTTGAAAGAGATTTCCCCCAAATTCAAGAGCACAGGAAAGGGCATGAACTGTAAACTTTCAGGTAGCTTTGGCCCAGGAGCCTGCTCCACCTGCTCCTTGGTAGACCGCATCACTGTGGTACACCTCATCACTTCTCTTCTACGCCCTTCCCTGGATTGATACCTTCAATACAGTCCTGGATCCTCCTCAAGGCCCCAGCCCCTCCATCTGTGCAGCCAGTTCTACTCTCTGCCCAGATACTCTCACACTGGAAAGTCACCCGTTAAAATCCGTGATCCATTTATGAATGGGTAAATGGGTGAGCTGCCGACAGACACAAATCTCCCAGATGCCTGCTGCCAAGTGTGGAACTGGGATCAGGTTTCTGCTGGGCCACAGTGCCCTCACCTGAGAAGCCACCTAGTTTAGACCTGGTGTTTCACTCTGGGACTGTCTTAACAACTGGGCAATGAGTGCGGCCCTCCCTGACTCTGCTGTGTGATTTTTCTGCTGATGCACGGCCAAGTTGTCCCATGGGACAGGTGACTGGGCTCCTTCTTCTGGTGTCCACGAAGATTCCCACCAGTGTGCCACATGCAGCTACTGGTGGCTCATGGACATGCAGTGGCTCCCACATTGTTCCACTGCATGGCCATGGACAGTACCCCTTCCTGGGACACGGATATTCACACTCCGAAACATTGGTGACAAAGATATTCCGCAGGCAGTAGCTGAGTGCCTGCTAATCTTCCTCACTGACAACTCAACATGATTAAAGTTGTAAATTTTTGCTGCCTTGGGCTGGGGATTTAGCTCAGTGGCATAAGTGCCTGCCTTGCAAGCAGGCAGTCGTGAGTTCGATCCCCAGTACCGATAAAAAGGAAAAAGACAAAAAATAAAATAAAATAAAAAATAAAAAATTTTTGCTGCCTGGCAGGTAGAAGACAGCATCTCACTGTAGTTTTAATTTGCCATTCTTGCAAGTGCACAGGTGTCATCCTGTATGATGCTCCTTTCCAAAGTGTTTGTTCCTTTTTTTGTTAACTGCTGATCCTTTCCTTATTGCTTTGTAGCATGGCATCCAAAGCACACGTGTAACAACACAGCTGCATATTTACAGGCACTGCTATGATGGAGCAGAGGATCCCGCCTCTTGGCAGAGGTGCTGTGGGAGAAATTATGATTGAGGATCACCCCTTGCTCCCTAGAGCAGAAGCTAGAGCCCTGAAAGCCTCTGACACCTGAATATCATTACTTAAAAAATTAATTACAGGTCTGCCCTCATGGCCTGACCTGGCACAGCTGCAGGGCTGCACTGCACAGTGCCTGTCCCTAGAGCCTGGGTGGACACTCTCAACCATGGCCTTGCACAAAGCACAGGCCACATACAAGGAGGGCTGCACAGGTCCCGAGGGCAGCTTCCCTGAGCACAGTAGGATGCTGTCATCCCAACCCAGGCTGTCAGCTATGTGATATGAACTTCATGAAGCGTGTTTCTTGTCCAGTGTGTGGATACGTATGTATGTCATACACATGCACATGTGTGCATGCACTCATTAGCAGTTTTCAAGTTCCTCAAGCCTGATACTCAAATGAAATCTATCAACATGCTGCTTACCATAGTTTAGATTTTAAAAGATAAATGCTAAATGAAAATAAAAAGATGGCTTAAGATTTCATAAAAACTTCTATCTGTAAAACTGCTATTCCAAGCCAGGGGTTTAGCTCAGCAGTGTGACTGCTTGGCAAACTTGAGGTCATGAGTTCAATCCCCGGCACAAAAAAAAAAAAAAGAAGAAAAGAAAAGAAAAGAAAAGAAAGAAAAAGAAAAAGAAAACTGCTATGCCATAAATTTGGACCAACTCTGCCACTAAGAAGTACTAAAGATGCTAGGGGCTGGGATTTAGCTCAGCGGCATAAGCACCTGCCTTGCAAGCACGTGGTCGTGAGTTCAATCCCCGGTACCAATTAAAAAAAGAGGAAAAAAAAAAAGAAAAGAGAAGTACTAAAAATGCTGACAAAATGAAAGGACACTTCATTCACGACTGCTGTACCAGGTTTTGAACCTTAGTAGCAGTGAACTACATCTCCATGTGCTGCTGCTTTGTTGTTGCTGTTGTTGTTGTTGTTGTTATTGTTGTTTTGACACAAGGTCATGCTATTAGGCCAGGCTGGCCTTGAGCTTATGAGCCTCTGCTTCAGCCTCTCAAGTGCTGGGCTCACAGGTACATCCCATCCTACCTAAATCCCCAGCTGGCCTTACACTGAAACTTGCCTCAGCCTCCCAAGTAGCCGGGATTACAGGAGTGTACCTGTTTAGGATATCACCTTAAAGGCATCGGGATGCTGAGCAGACAAGGAGGAAGGAGCACCACCTTCTAGAACAGCAGTACCCATGGAGTCAAGCATGGCTGTGGCTTCTGACCTGAAAGCGTCTGCCCACATCCAGCAAACCTGAGTTTCTGTTTACAAATCTGAAGCCAGCACGATGCAGAGTATGATGAGTATCCCTGCCCCACAAAGAGTAAGCTTAAGATGGCCTCATATGGATTCACAGCTGAAATTCCCATCTTGAGGGGTTATGAATTCACAATAGATGAATTTTATTTAAAATGGCTTTAGGCTGAGTTGCTCAACATACGTGGTAAAAACACCCACAAACTTAGTCTGAAAGAAATATCTGTATACCATACCTAAGAAATCCCCACAAATAGGCATGGTGGTACACACCAATAATTCTAACACCCTAGGAAGCTGAGACAGGAGGGTTCTGCTCAGGCTGGGCAATTCAGAGAGACTCTGTCTCAAAATAACTAAAAAGAGCTCAGGACAGCGCTCAGCACAAAAAAACCTGGGTTAAATCCCTTAGCAGTACAAAGAGAAAATAAAACAGACAGAAAAGAAGAAAACAGAAAGAAAGGGTGAGCACTAAAGGAAGAAAGCTTGTAAGAATAGGTAGAGATAAACAGCAGGAACAGACTCATGAAGACTCTGCCTTCAAGCTCTGGATGCAGGGAGGAAAGGCCTTGGCTCACTTTTTTTTTTCATGGAGATAAATGATAGGGTTGAACATAAAGGGTATAGCAAGTGAGAGAAAATATCACTGCAGATCTGGGGTAAAATAGAAGTAGAACTTTTAGAAATAAACACCATTAAGCAACAGATTTAACAGCAACAAGACACAGATGGAAAATTATTAGTGAACCAGAGGTAAGTTAAGAGTAACTAATGATTGAGGATTTTTCCAGAACTGAAGAGAGGAATCTATAGATTTAAAATGTCTAACATCCTAAGGATAGATAAAAAATAAAGTTAGACAATAATGAAACGGCAGAACACCAGAGAAAATTTTTTAAAAAGTCTTAAACATGGGAGGAAAAATTACCTAGCCAACAGAACAACTTGCTAAGTAAACAACAG